AATAGGGAGTAAATTACGTTAGTGATTCTATAATAATAATAATAATAATAATATAAAAAAAAAACTAGAATATGTTATATCAACCACACTACCTCTGCAAAATCCACTGCCAACAAGGTTTTCACCCAATAATATAGCTCACCAGATCTGCTGGGACATGACAGATTTATTTAAATGATATTAGAGATTGTGCCACTTCAAATAACCACAATGATACACATTTTTCATAATAAAGTAGTTTATGTTCCCAATATTTCACATTACATATAAATAATGATTGAAAATTGTATACAATAAAAATTGGTGATGTGGAAACTGACAGTGTTACTGGCCTTTAAAGAAGAAATTAACAAATCATTGCCAAATAATAATATTGGTAGGTACTTAAAAAAATAAATCTTGATGTTGAAATTGAAGAATTTGTAAATAACACATCATTCATAAAATAAAACATTATTTTGTTTTAATTGTTTTGAATTACAATTATTAGGTTTTATCAAGACAAGTTCCGAATTATCCTATACAGGTGCTGTGAACCAAATAATAAAATAAACACACAAAAACTGTGATTAAAAAGAATAATTATTCTTGAAAATAGTGGAATTCACCAGTAAATGTACTGTATATATTAACACAATGTGCTGTGAAGATTTATTCAAGAAACGCAAGTCAAATTATGAAAAATGTATATATTTATATACATTTGAGTTTATGCATGGTCAAGGTACTTAAAGCAATAAAGAAATACCCGAAGAAGATAATCTCTGGTGATTCATCAACACAAGTCATTAAATCTATTCATGAAGTCTTGAACCTAAAATTATTTTTGCAGAAGTTAAACAAGTTTCATTAGAATCATTTATTCTAGAAACTGAATTGAAAACTTTGTTGTAAGTTTATAAAACCACAATTGTTACTCATCACTGCTATATTAACATCATTTGTGATCATACCAAAATGTTTTGTACAACACTACCTTAGCAATAATTAAATCATGCAAATAACAAGAAAATTCTGTTCTGACTACATAATCTTCTTCCCACATATTAATATTTTACTGAGTACAGTGACTGAACAAAGTGTTTAATAATGAAATTTTTTTTATAAGTAAACTGCCTATTCTAATTACCAGTTGTTTCATAGTTACTTCAATTCTTTTAAAGATTTTGAAATCAAGTTACTAATATTTTGCTTTGTCCTTAACTTCAAATATTTAATATTTTACAGAGATAATTCTAGTTGTTTCAATTCAATAAGAACTAATTCTTTAGAGCCTCTCTCTTGATTTTTCATTAAACATTTGTAAAGACATTCGATGTACTATGAATTTAAGAGGAAAAAAAAAAAAAGACTTGTATTAAAAAGATAAGATGATTTCTCCCCCTCCATGTAAAGTCATGTCTCAGCAAACAGAAAAAACAGATTAATATCTTTTATCTTTATCACATGCCAGGCAACAAGCAAAAGTGATTCCAAGGAGCTGTAAATATAAAAATGAAAGTTTTAGTTAAAACTTCAAAATGACAGAAAAATTAAGAAACAAGCTTTACTGCTGTATGTACAATAACTAGAAAATACTAGTATGTAGTAGTTTATTTCAGAATTAATTTCAAACCATAATAAACTAGATTTTATAATCTACGTTACCTTTCCATCACAATAAAATATTTTTAACAGTTGCTAAGTTTTCAAAAGTTATGTAAAATACTTAGCAGACTACTATGATGACCAACAGTTATCTAACAACCTATAAAATGTTAAGAGACATTTCAAATGTATTTACAAGAATGATAAATTTAGATATTTTCAACCCAGTAGCCAACAAGTAGTCGAACTATTTTCTTGTATATAAAACATATATAATATCATTACTGTTACAAGCTTTTTATGCAAATTAAACAATTCCATATTTTAACTCTAACAATGATGCACTTTTAAAAAGTTACATTCAAAATCTAATTAAAATCACTTTGCTATTAATATATTTTAATGAAATTATCATCATCAAGTACATTATACTTCATATTATTTTAGTTTTTTTTATTCTTTTATTTCAAAAGAATCATAGAAAGCAATAAATCTTAGGTTTGTGTCACATGATGCACAAGGTATAAATGATGTCAAAATTTGGTGTGAAGTATAGCTTTAAAAATAAGGAAGTAGTCATGTACGTTTAATTCTAGAATGTAGTTTAGTTGACTCTTTGAAATGTATATTTCAAAGCACTTTCGCTGAATGCAGTTGAAACAAGTCTACCCTCAACAGGTGCCACATCCACCTTCTATACTTAAGTTGAACTTTAAAATTACATGTATCTTCAACATGCAAGTATTTACAGTCATTAGAAAAGCTCATTTTACACTATAATCCAACAACGGTTATTTTGAAAATGGCACCAAGCCATCATCCTCAAGTAGATTACCTGCTTGAACTATTGTTGCTTTTTCACAATAGTTCTTAGGTTCTTTCTTACCTAAATGGTATAGTTAGAGACAGTTTAATTATATTTAGGTTTTAAAATTCATATTTGAAAGGTTTAATAATTTTTATAAAATAACCAAAACTTCCCCCTTGTTCTGCAAGGCATATGTTACCAAGTACGTATAAAAAGATTTTGCCGGAGGCTAAGGTATCTCTGCTGTTCATACCATTCTATTGCCCACGGGTACCCATTGACGTATCAACATAAATAATAAATGGTAAAGAATAGGAAATGAAAATAAAACATTAAAAATAAATTAGGTGAAAAGGTAAAGTTGTGAAATTATACATATGACCAAAAGATATTTTTAGATTATGCAAAAATATAATACAAGGTATGTACATATTTCTACTTATTAATTTTAAGCATTTCCTTGCAATGTATGTTGATGATAACAGCTAGAGTTAGAGATATGGTAGAGAAAATTGAAAATAGATATTTACCTTCAAAAAACAACACTTGATACTCATTTAGGAGGTTCTAGAGATTAAGTAAGTGAAACGTGAAAACTATAAAATAATAATTTTATACTAAAAATTAGTCACCTTGCAAGTGAGCTATTCAGTCTCCTGAGTGCAAATAACTATATTAAATAACAATTTGTTTTTTTGTTGTTTTTTTTAAATCAAAAATAGTAAAAAAACTACAGTTAAATATTTTTTCTCAAACTACATACTTTTCTGGAAAAAGTCTTAAAGTTTTAAAACAATTTATCCACTCATTTTATTACTGGAACAAAATTTAACAAGAGTTATGTAACATGCTTTTCTTTACAGCATGTCATTGTCATAGGGTTAAGAATAGGGATATTCATTAAGTAATTTGTTTCAAAACAATACCACCCATGAGCTGGTATTTGAAATAAACTGTTCAATTTAAAAAAAAAACATGTGCTTGACTGACCTGAATAAAGGCTATCCCAACTCCAACACCTCCCAAGATGTATACTTTATCTTCAAGAAAGTCTTTCAAAGCTTCAATACATCCCTAGAAAAAAATATTATTGAAAATGATGATATATACTGCAATGAATCATATCCATCACAACGTCTTTTCTAATAAATTTGTAGAAACCTTTATAATTGGCAAGTGTAAAGAATTACTGAAAAAATGTTTTTAATCTACAGGTATACATAGCCAAGTCTTTCGCTGGTATTTTTAGAATTTTTTTTTAATAGAGCTACATTCAAAAGTTAAACTATTATCAATGTCAATAAACTTGGCATCAAGATGTAGTTTATATATTAGCTTCCACTGTAAAAATAAGTAGTACAATATGCTGTTATTCTGGAAAGAAAAAAAAGGGAGAGGATAATTGAGATTTCTTATATTTCAACCAATCAATTTACTTAACATTGTTGAATTTGCTAAGGTAGAGAAAACAAAATATAGTTTTACTGAAGAAAAATTTCTGATAGTCATTTAGGAGGTCATAAAGATTATGCAAATAAAATTTTTTATTTTTAGCATGAAAATCACTTTCAGACTTGTCAGATTTTGAGTCACACAACTAACCACTGGAACCTCTGAAATGAATATCAAGTTTCTGGTGAAACTATTTTATTTCAACCTTATCACCAGCTGTAGGAAAATTAAATTTACATTAACAATTTCATAAATATGAAATAAAATGAACAATACTTCTTTTTCTCATTTAGATAGATTATTCTGCTGAATTGATAGTATTCTTACCTTAAGTTTTAACTGTTAACCTTTTCACATTCATTTAATTTTCTAGGCTTTATTGCTGTTGTTTATACCCACAGAAGCAGTAATCCTTCCATTATATGCAATAAATTACAACAGTATATCATTAACATGTTTCATAAAATCCAAGATCAAAGTGCTTACAACAATTTATCTTTACGAGTACAAACTAAGTGTGCTAGGTCTCACTCAGTGATGTATTAATTAGCAGTATTTTCTCATACAGAAGCCATCAAAGTTTATGCTGTTGGGCTAATCATATAGAGCTGCCTGTCATGAAAGAACAAGTAATATGTACATTTGAACATTTATAGCACCAGAAGCTACAAATCTGGTGAAGTTCTCTAGCAATCACACCGTCAAATAAACTAATCCTGAAGATGACAAATCAGGCCAATAAAATTAATTGATAGTTAATCATCCTAATTTTATTTTCAAAAACAATGGGGAGGAAGAATAAATTATAAATTCTCTACATCTACAATTCCACTGTGGGAAAGAAAAAGGATCTCAATGACCCCCCCCCTCCCCCACTTGTCACAAGATGGTTAAAGAAAGTCTTTGGAAATGGCAATTCCTAATAGGGTTGGGCAGGGATGAATAACTAACAGTTTATATTAATTGGTCTTAGCTTACACCTGAATAGGATAATTACTGCTTATCTTGCATACTTACTTGTTTATGCCAATTATCATCTGAAATCGTGCAGTTCTCAGCTTTGGCATCACAGCAAGAAGGTGGAAGATTGCCATCAGGATATTGATGACTCCAATCAGAAGCATTCACAGCACCACAACATTTCAACTACAAAGTAACAAAATTTGTAACCAATATAAAAGGGAAATACAACGTTAATTTTAAAGTAGTATTGATTTTTCAATTTTAATTAAGTGTAACTAGAATTATAAAAGTGATTAATAGGAAAATTTAGATTAATTACGTGTTTTAATAAGGGAACTATTTCATTTATGTAATTTACGTTTTCCTCGGAACTAAAAAACAAATTGAAAGGTTAAATAATTTTTATATTAAAAAACAAAAAAAAAGAAAAAAGTTATTTTTGATTGTTATTTCCCATTTCAAGTTAAGATATACTTAAAGTAATTAAATGGCATCTATATGATAAGAATAAGCTGTCACTTTTTCTTCTTACTTCAGGCATTATAAATGTGGTAAGAAAATAAAATACTATTTTAACAAAATTTAGTGTATTGTTGAGAGAAAAAAGGACCATTATGAAGTATATACTAATATTAAAATGTAACTGCTATAGTAGGTTTTACTATTTTTCATATCTTGTTCTGTAAATTAAACTTAAAGTATCAGAGTTAACACCAATATCAAAACAGATTTGATATTATACACAGTATTGTGATAAATTATGAAAATGCACAGATAATACACATACAGGAAGTACAAACAATGAATCACTGCAAGTAAGTGAACACTACATAACCATAGAAAAGGTTATCAAATAAGTTTAGCAATGAACTAGTATTTGTATACGATTTAAACAAAGCTGCACACCATTTTTTTTTAAGTCACCATAAATATTAGCATGCTATCGCGAGATACTTTATTTGAAATGCAGTGATACAAATCATCCAGTTGTTTGGTTGCTGTTTGATTTAGTTTCCATATAAGGTCATACAGCCTTAATAATACTCACTGAAATTTTGTGCAGTTCAAGCATCAGTTGAGTGTTCCATTGGCCATTTTGCCCCCTCATAACCAACAGTACCAGAGGCAAGAGTGAACAACTGACAAAAATTTAATTAAGTATGACTGATTCAAGTGTGAAAACTAAATGCATGTAATTGGAAGTGCTACAAATTACAGCACATTACACACACACACATACATACATACACACACACAAAATACAGAATTCATACCTCTGTTTGAATCTTATCCCAATCATTTTCAGTTGCATTTTTTTTTAAGTCATCTTGCATCCCTTCCTTGATTGCTTTTTCTACCTGAGAAAAGAAAAGAAGTTAAATTTAGATGTTGTTTCAAGTAATTTTATTTATAACTGGATATAATTGAATAATTAAACTTCATATACATAAACACTATATAAACTATGCATTAACATACACAACTTAAAAATGTAAATTTTATACTGTTACAATACTTTAAACTAAATATTACTGCTGTCGGATGAGCAATAGTTTAAAAGTGGTATTATATAGTTTCAACATTTCCGAGTCTTGTCGAGGCAAATGGCAAGCATGATCATCTTTAAGGTCGTTTTGGAATTATTCAGTAACTTATTAAATGGCAAATGTATTTACAATTTGTATGCTAAAGCTTAAGGTGTACCACTCAATAACTTCTTTCTGCCCAAATTTTATGGGTTAAAAAATACAAACGGCTGGGAATTCCACCTACTTCACCTTCAGCGTTTTTCACAAGCAATGTACATGTATGCATATATAATAGATGGCATAGTAGAAGTAATTTTAGTTTACTTTAGGGGAAGTATGGAGCTTAAATACTTATCACACTATTCCTAAAGCATGGAAAAAATATATTGTAGTATTGAGGTAAGATTATTAAAGATTTTAACCCTACATTGCAGAACTTGCTACAGTTAGTTTGGGTGGTGAAAAAATAAAAATACAGTTTCACTGAATAAGAAGAAAAAAAAATCATTAACTTAGAAGGTCCTAGAAGTTATGTAAATACAGTTGAGAACTACAGGATGAAAAATATATATATATATATATATATTATTTTTTTTTAACATCAAAAATCACTTTCCAAATTGGACTATAATCTCACTATTTTAATACTACAAACTTAAAATTACAATAACTGCATTACACTTTAAATTTTGCAAATTATACTTACTGTACTCACCTGAACCTATATATATTGTCATGTCTTTTGGAACAGCACAAAAAAGAGGAAACAATAAATTGAAATTAAGATATAAATATATAGAATACAACTTCCTTTATATCATTACAACTGGTGTTAGCTTTTATTAGAAACCTTTAAAGACAAAGCTACTATCTTACTTAAACTGTTAATCTACATGCACAATTGATTCGTTTTATAGTTACTCTCTTGGAAACAACTGGAAGGAAACCTTACACATTATAGGCAACTACTTGAGATACAAAAAATTCTAAATTTCAAATAAGTTTATTAAGAATGTAATAAAATCATGAATCCTGCATTAAAAACTGAAGAAAGGACTTTGAAAAAAAAAAAAAAAAAAGACTTCCTTCAAGTTAAAAAAGTAAAGAATAGACCTTAAATTGTAAATATTCCTGTGTATTGGTTCTTAAAACGATAAATATACAATAGTATATGCTACTTCTTATGAGTAAAAGCCAACTGAAAACACCATTAGACACTTTTGATTTGAGTTTACTTACTTGTTCAGTATAATTTTATTACAAATTAAAGCTTTTATAGTAAGAAAGATTTATTTTTAGAAGAGATACATTTCAATCACTTGTGCAATCATTCTTAAGTATAGAAGTGTAATTGAGAATGATTGGACAAGTGATCAAAATGTTCTAAAAATGAATTTTCTTATTGTAAAAGCTGTAACTTGTAATAAAATAATACCATTAGATATAGTTGAGCACATGACATTAAAAAGTCAGGATGCTTACAAACTAGAATTTCATCAGGTGGCATACACTGGGATGTTTCATTTGAAAAAAAGTTCAACAGTTAACTCTCACTAAGGTTTCAGTCCCAGGCACTGACCTCTTAACCATTCTGTTTGTTATAGTCTTCATACTATAACTTTCAATATTATGTATACCTTCATAAAATTTGAAAGACTTTTAGTTAGTATTACATGTTGTTTGTATACAAAAAGTCAGTTTTTAAGTGAAGTATTTGTACGAAAGATTTGTCTGTGAATATATCAAATATTCTTCTTTTTAATAGTTCGAGTGCAAATTGAATTTTAAATTAAGATTAAAGAAAAAGAAAAAAAAAGTTAGAAAAAATATCAAGTTCTCATTTGTATAATCTTTAACAAAAAATATTTATTTTGATCAGTAAAACTATATTTTATCTATTACCTCTTCCCTAATAACATTTGATTCTTCAGCCAGTAGACAAAAAGTGTAATGAAAAGTTGTAGAAATCAGAAATAAAATGAGCAGCTGTGCACTTTTTCTTTATTATCAATCATGAAGTTTCAAACTATTTCTCTTGAGAGTTTGAACTGCAAAATATTTCACATTTATTTTCTGCATTTACTTTACTGTCAATGACTGAAGTAAAAATTTGCTGAAAATACAGCAACATATCACAATTTGTGTCATTACTGTTTATGTGATACTATAATACAATAATCTTGAGAGTAACAAAGCATCCGTGAAGAAATAAGCCAAATTAACCCCCTGCTCCGATAACACGATGTGGAATTTATCGGTTTATACATTCTATAATGTTTATAATGAGAATTCCCAAGAGTAACAAGATTGCACTTTGAATCTGCAAAAATGTTTATATGGTTAGAAGCTGATCCAATAAACATCACAAGTGTTTCAGTACTGGTCATCTTTCCAAGATGTTTGGAATTTAGCAGTATATTATATAGGCAAAGAAGGATATTATTTGTGCACTTGGTTATAAGATCCTATTTCCCTTTCAGCAAACTTATTCATCTACTAATAAACACTATTTATTCACAGGTGTTTAAATTTTAGTTATTTTTATAAAATATATAAGAATGAATAAAAAAATACTTCAAAAATCAACAATTGAGTACTTAGTGTCATGAGATTTTGTGCCAGTGCATGGTAAATGCTAAGCCTTGCCATAAATCTCATTTATTCTTCTGAATGGAGGGTAAAAAGATCAGTTTTTGTGGGCTTAAAATATACATTTTAGAAAACAAAACAAAAATTATAAACTTACTATTTTAGTGCACACAAAACCACTACATGGGTAAGAGGTTCTCATTTTATATTCTACCTTGTCTATATCTCATAACGAGTTTCTGATCCATTAACGACTGTACAAGTTGTATGGTAGGCGCAATAAAAAATAAACTGAGCAATAAGACTATAGAAGGTGCTATTTGAAAAAAGAAAAATTTATATTTAGAATTTCTATATATTTCCTTTTACATTAAGATTTGAATTAGAAGCTACATTTGTAATGTGATAAATGTTGAATAATTAATTGGCTTCAAACTGTTTGTGTGTGAATAATCTCTGATGAATGAATGATAATAGTATAAGAAGCATACACTAAAGAACACTCATTATAGAATCAAAAGAAAAGAGAAGGCCTAGACTGACAATTGTCAGAAATTAGTTCTCTGTTTATGGTAGAAAATAACAAATATTCATAAAATACAGAGGTTTGCAAAATTGTTCCAAATTATTCAAACATAATTATGAACTTATCAAAGATTACTGTTGTTTCTTACAAATAACAACACTCCAAAGTTAGACAAAAAAAATGTAACAGACTGTACTTTAAGGTCCTTTACTCAAACAAATAATGTTTCCTGGTATTAACATACAAAAATTCATAAATTTAGTTTTTATCAATATACACTACATAATGAAAAATGCACTTTTGTTACAGTAAGGTTTCTGGCACTGTATGCTTCTAATATTATGCAATTACTTAGAATTTGGATAATTAGAAAATTTGGGGACAGTACTGAAAAACTTAAGTGTTTGAATAGTTCTATAATTAGCTATATTCATGAACAATTTGTACAAATTTTCTTACTTTTGTTAAAACTGCAGAGAACAATTACCGAATAATTTAACTGCTTATATTAATTAATGTAGCATGTTACAAAAAACACTTATGTCAGAACACAGTTACATGTATCTCCATCTCCATACAGGCTAGTTCATGTAGTTAAAACTTCAAAAGCATAGGAGTCAATGGTTAACAATACAATTCATCACAATTTATTCTTTCCTTGCTTGTGTGTGTGCTCTTTCATTTGTATTAAGGTCTAAAGACAGTACATTTTTCAGTAGATAAATATATAGACCAATTAGAAAAAAAAAATATTCTAACACTAGCTCTGCATAACATTAAGTTATTTCATTACTGAGAACAAAATCACAAGTTTTTACATTAATCAATGTTAAAATTTGAAACTTGTATTACACCTGAGCAGTCCAATTCAGGTAACTGGCTACCCAAGGTTCTAAAATATGAAGGGATCAATTTGTTTCTGAACACATTAAATGTCACAAAGAAGCTCTCAATCAGATCGATATAAATAAAATGTTCTATTTTAACAGATTTCTACTTACATCTTTTCTGTAAACATAGGCTGCTATACCTGCTGCTAGCTCCACGGCAAATATGATGAAAAGCAAAACAGCAAACTGTCAATATAATTAAAAACAATTACTATCCAAATCTATGGAATTATACTGAGAATGTTCCATAGAATTTTTTTTTTTTTTTTTTTTATGACAGCTTAATAAAAAACAAGACAAGATAATGTACATAGAAGTCTTTCATTTCACAAGAAATATTTATTCCAAAGTAAGCATTTTATATTCACAGTGTACTTAATTTATTGTAATGAAATAAATAAATTTAATTAACCCACAAATAGTTCATACATGACTACATATACAATATTACACTTTAAAGACTAGACAATTGCAAACACTAAAATGAACAACTTATTTTACCCGTCATTCAAGACTTAAAACTGAGGTTTGAAGTACAGGGATGGTGTAATACAACATTTTTTTACTAACACAAATGTTTATCTGTAAAAATGCTCACACATTAACATGATTAAGACAGTTTTTGTAACATAACCTGTGTACTTTCAATAAGAATTCATAAACTTAAATAATAAAAAAAAAGTTTTAACTATTTTTTTTTTTTTTTACATATGTATTGTTATTAAACTATTTCAGACTAAACGTTTATAGAATGATAGTATTTCATGTTCTGAGAGAATGTTGATATACAGTGTAGCAGCTTTTAAAACCCTTCATAAAAATGTCTACATAGCAAACTAAGCTGACAATAGGAAATTATAGCAATAGATCAATGTGTTGCTTTGAATCTGTTTTACTTCATGATATAATAACCTAAATTAATTTAGGTATGTTAATAATGTTATGACATTTTGTCAAATCCATTACCCAATATTATACCGTGGACCAACTGTTTGATGGTTGTATGTATATGTTACAGATCCCCCCCCCCCCCCAAGAGGTGATTCTCTCTTTTCAATTTCACCTCTGATGAAAATGAAATCTTTAATATATACATACAGATCAATATGTTTATTTCTATATGTATTAATAAATCACATTAAATATAGGTAGGTGGCTACAGAGAATCCAAATTTATCAGGATTTGTCTTCCAGTTTTTAATAATTCTGTTGCTACTTACAGCAAATGTACTTCAATTCTTTATGTTTCTTAATTGCTTATAACACAATGCTGATAAACTTAAATCAAGCTGCCACTTCCTTGAATTCATCTTCATATAATTGTGTGCTTCCACATTGATGAAATCAATTCAAAACTGCTTTCTCACTGTTTTATATGTTGCTCAGTGAGTACTGAAGGACTTTAATCTTATCAGGTACTTATTATCCACTTTGATGCCTCTAGTTCCACTGATGCTTTATATTATAAGCAAGAGTTGAAGGCAGTCTGTGCAACTGCCAGATATATGTACAATTGCTTCCATACAATTCTCATAGTTTGTCTTCAATAAAAGACTTTGATCACAAAATAAACAAGTAATAATTTCTCCATTTCTTAGCTTCCAAATAGAGCTTAATTATGTGATATGCTAGTAATTTGGCTATTGTCACCCAGCACTTTAATGACCTACATTTCTTTACCTAATGGTCCACTACAATGTAGGCATTTTATGGCAGGGAAACTAGTGAATATTCTGGATAATAAATTTTGGAATAAAGCATTCCATCATTATGGTGGTCACTGCTCAATAAAAGGTTTTACTTAAGGCCTCAAATATAATCTGGAATTTTTTTGTACAATTGTTCCTTTTTTCTTTATGAAATTCATCTGAAGAATATAATTCAGTAAGATTACTAAAAGAAACCAAATTTTTAGAACTCCATGATGATTTAACAGAGCTTTGACAATGTTCGATTTTATTAACAGGCATTTTTTTTCTTACAAGCAATGGTTAGCCTTGCTGTTTTAGACAGAGCCTTTGTCACTAGTTCCCTGTTCTGAATATTTATGTAGTTTCTTCTTTTGCTTTACAACTTTGTAAAGTAATTGTTTTTTCACTTTCAGGTAGATGTTTGATTAACAAGGCCAAACAAATTTATACTGGGAACTGTCATGTTGTACTTAATGAAAAATATTTTTTGCTTGTTCACTAATTTTTTACATGGAAAATTATGGTTTTAGTGGAATGTTCCAAATTTAATTTTTCTTGTCAACTATTTGCCACATGTTCTTGATTGCAACATCCATTTTTAATTTACTAATGAATCAGACCAGAGTTCAGCAAGTCAAACAACTTTGGCAAACCCTTGACCACCCAGCAAAAAATACAAGGTTGGCCTGAATGGAAGGGCTCTGAATTGGTAGACCCAGTCCTCATGGACAAACCAAAGAAACAGACAGGATGCAGGGGGATATTGAGGTATGCATTGGACAAGTTGACCTTTATACCCATAAGCCTGGAGTAAATGCCTAATAGAGAGATAGGAATGACTCCATGGTAAGTTGAGGAAGGTCTAGGTAGCAGTTCAGATGGAAAAGACTGATGATCAGCCACCAGTCCACTTTGGGACAACAAACAGGAACAAAATCCTTAAAGGGACTGAGCCACAGGTTCTATAGCATCTTTGAAAAGAAGGTTCTGAATTGCCTTAAAAAGTTGCTGGTTAGATATGGGATCCTAAGGTGGGAATGGAACTGCGAAAGGAGATAAGGAAGGAGGTGTATAGAAAAAAAAAAAGGGAGAGTCCTTCTGATAAGGATCTATAATAAAAGTCCTTCATACATGGACAAAGCTGTACAGCATGGTTACTACAGGTCCTGTACCAACCAGATAGTCACTTATACTGTTGGCAGCTGATGGGTCGGCAGCAGATACTACAAAAATTGGCCTCCAAAACCTGAACTGAAGAAACAGGATGAATGTATAGAAGCAGGGGAGGATTGAGACAGGCAAGGGAGGATAGGGAAGAATAGAGATGTGCCAACTCCACACAAGACTCCAAGGACTCAAGGATACCCCCAAGAATGTACTGACACAAAAACAGTTGCCATACATGAATCTCAATGATTAGGGGGTTAAACATACCCTTGTCAGAAGGGCATCCATTCCCAAAAGATCTCAACAACACATGAGTCAAGTGTGAAGGGACAGGGCCAAGAAAGACAAATGGGCCAAAATGGACAACAGTAGGGAACAGCTATCCCCCAAAACCCCTCAGGGGAATGATGGATAGCCTCAGACAAAAGGTGAAGGAGGGAGACTAAAGTAAAATGAAGGTGAAAGAACTGTGTCTGAGAGAAACGCACACTCCTGTTACAATTCTCTACCCCTGGATTAGTCTAACCTTACTTCTCAACATGGCACTCAAGTATTTAGGCATTTTTCCTCGCTGCACTTTGAATTTTCAAATTTTGCAAAATATTATTGCTTTTGAACTTAGTTTTTTAACTTAAATGTTGATCTTCAATAATCTAACCAGTTCAGCATGAGTTGTAATTTTTTTTTTTTGACGATTTTGTTTTTTCTCCCTCTTCCAATTTTGGGGTCCATGCTAAGCATTTTGCTGACCAGTTACATTTGGTGATCAGCATGCTGTGTCCCTCTTGCTCTTTTAAAGCTCATATTTTGGCCTACCATCAGGCTTTGAATCCTTCATATGGATTCTCAATAGTTGAATTCTTTAATCCCAGTTTGGGGTTTGGATCCTGATACCTCAGTCCCTGTCATGCTATTGGAGGAGGGTTGTCACATGGTATAGTGCAGCTGTACCACACTAAATTTACTAACACAAACTGTGCATGATGTGGTTTGGAGAATTATATTTAACTTTTTTCATACTTAGTGTAGCAAGTTAAAATCTACACATGTTTAGAACTTCACACACACACACACAGTATTTACAATAAGATTTAATCCAAATCGATAACTAAAAATAAACCATCATAAATGCATCAAGTTATATTTTTTCATTACTTCATTCTTGTTCAATGTAATTACCAGCAGCAATAGGTTATTTCACCTCTGTCCAAGGTCTTTCAAATCATAAAGACAGGGATTCTGTGAATCTTAAACTACATGTACAGACAAGCTGAGAGAGGGCAAATCAAGAGTTAAGCTGTTGTGCCACTGGTTTTTGTAGAGTTGTACAAAAATATGCAATTATAAAGATACCAGTATCTTTTTCATCTTTTTACTAATGTTTCTTTTCTTGGAACATTTTAATCCATTCTTTTGTAGATGCATTCAAACTCTCTGCTCATACCTCAACCTTTCAAAGGATGTGGGAACTTTCCATAAACATTTCTAAAAATAGTAATAATTCTGAAAAGTTATGTTTGAACTTACTTGTCTGGGTTATGCCAGTTTCTGAAAATACATTTTGATAACTTTACCAATAACACTTGCTTAGACTGAGCCAAACTGCATTTATCTTATTTCAGTTGGTATTTTGAACTATTTATTAACCTTAATATTCTTATAAATATACCTTCCCTCAATTTTAAGATACCTACTGGTTAGAAAATGCATAAGAAACTGCTAATTGCAAGTACATGCATTACCTTTGCTCTTTCTAGTTCTGATTAATGTTGTATTATACTTACTGTCATTAGCATACAATAGTTTTCTTTCCAGGCACCACAACATCCAAGGAAGGCAAGGACAAAAACAATGGAACCAACTATGATAAGCATGGTAGGTGAAGTTGTATTATTGTCAACCATGAAATCTGCATACTTTGTGATGTTTTTTAAAGACAATGCTCCTACTACTATGAGACCAATGCCAGAAACCTGAAAGACAAAGTTTGTACAATATTAGACAAGAGTGTAAAGAAAACCAAAATGCAACTGTTCTTCCAACAACAATGCAAGATTCATTTTAGAAAAATTATTTTTAGCAATAAAATTACTTAGGGAGAAGAAATTCTGCTATGACTGAAGCTTCCCTCTGTTATTACTTCTTTGATTGCAAGTTTTGTAAATTAGGTATATTATTAGTCTCAACTGTTCAAAACTTGTTTTTGAAGTTAGGTCTTCAAGTGAATTTTAAAGAAATAAAATTTGTTCTTGTACTATGGACTTGGTATTATTTTCACCAAATAAAAATTCTAATGACAATAAGAAAAAAACCTCTTTAGCGCAAAAATCAACACATGATCACAAGACATTCCTATTGTTGCTATCTGCAAATGAAATTGGTAAACATGAATAATAATAATAAAAAAAAAAAAGACTGCTGATCTACCCTCCTTGCCTACACTAGTGACGAGCAATCTGCTAACAACAGAGTTGATCAATAAGTTGACTTATCACTCAACTTTGTTTAAGTTCTCATATTGCTTGTTTATTTATATACTAAGATCAAGGCAGATGAAGCAAATAGATTTTATTATACATGTAATATCCTGTCATTACTGATACATATTATATACAACATTTTTATCAGTTATGATATTTCATATAATGCAATTTCATGCTTTTGGAATACATTTGGCTTCTTACAGAGTCATTTTGGTCAATTTTACTGTCATATAGTGATGAAGAATCCTTTTCTCCCAAATTTTATAAATTCTTGTTGAAACTTAAAATTTCTATTATTTTACATAAAGATTTTAATGCAATATATGGAAACTATGGTCATTTCAAGTTGAAAAAGTAATGAGGTGAAATTAAGACTTATTTTTGATGGATAATTAAATTTTGGGTTTTAAGTGTTCAGGTAATAAGAATACCAATCATGAATGAAGTTCAAGTAATAAACAAAAACCAAAGCTTCAAGTTCAAAGTAAACTGTGAGGCCATTACTCATCATTTATCACTAATTACTCATATTAACTAGTTAACATATATATACTGATAATAAGGAACCATTAAATCTGTCGAGGCTGTCTCTACACACCCACTCTTTAGTAAAAACTTAAACTTACCCTTTATTTATCAGGAAATAAACTCCTCTTAAACTCATAAAGTGCTGGTCTCTACTACTAATGACAAATCATTCCATACACTAGTTTACAAAATAACTAGTTTTAGGTTTTTACCTCAGAGTACAGGGAGAAAAAAAATAAATCATTAATCTTATAAATCATTATATTTCTTTTCTTCAAAAATAAGTTCTTAGCATTAAATCAACTTAGTAATAATCTTTTGAACCTTTTCTTAAAAATGTTATTTTTTAGATAAGGAAACCAAAACTATAGACAGTATTCCAAGTGATGCATACCTGGTGATTTATAAAGAAAATTACCTCTTGACAAGTATCAATGTCTATAAATAAACACTAGTTTTAACACTAGTACAGATAGATCTGGAAATTAATGGAATTTCATAACTGGTTATTCTTCCATTAACCTTGGATATTTAAAATAATTAGAAACACTAATTCCAATTAGCTTATTATTTTAGTGCATCATGACAATCAGTTAGGTTGGAAAACACTGAATTAATCATATATAATGAGAATTCATAATGGCAACATTTCAAACAAATAAATCAGGTTCATTAATTTTAATTAGTTACTCACTTTACTTAACTAATCAACATAGATGTTCATGGGTAACTGATTAATCAAGTTAACTGCCGAGTTTTAGAAATGGTGCACTGCTCTGATGACTTAAGTAAGACTTACCTACATTATAACAATATCCTTTTCTTCAGTCATGCTAATGTTTCCTATCTACACTAAATGCATGATCTAAATTATGACAACCTAGTGCATTACCTTGCACTTACTGTAATTATATTTTATGGTCATTTTCCAAATATATTAATTTAACAATTTATCCAAATCATTATGTAGTACCTCAGCAATCTTAATATCATACCCAACTTTAATAATTTAGAAGTGTCTTTAATAATATCACCATGTAACTAGAAACTAAAAAAGTACAAAAGAGGATAGACCTAAAGGCACTCCACCAGTAACAACTAATTAGAACAGGAACTCTACACCCATTCCTTCACTAAGTAACATCCAAGAAAATAACACTTAGTGACAAGATTTTATTAATTTATTTTCTAGTTTTTACAATTTCTACTACCACAAACTTAAGATTAACTGGCCTATAATTTCGAGAGAAACTTATTACTCCTTTCAAAAATCACAATAACACAAGATACTTGCCAATCCTCATACATATGCCCACTTTCTGTTGTTGATTTATCAAAAAATGAGTCACTAATATTTGTAATAAGTCTTATATCATGGTGTCAAAAGTCTCCAAAAATGAGAATCTAAAGTTTCATTTTATAGTTATTTAACTTTTAACTTAAAAGTCACCATGTAGCAAAACATCAAATTAATCATGCAAGGTCAACTTTTCTCCAAATTAGCTGTCAGGTTATAATTTTTAGTACAAGTCATTGTTTTAGTATAAAATAAGACAGAATTCACTTGAAAACTAGATTTAAGTTCAATTATAATTAGTCATAACATAACTGCCCGAACCCCGATTTTACGATTATGGCTATATGAGGGTCTCGGTTTGATCTATTCGTTACGATACGCCTCCCATATCATAGAATTAGAAATACATTACTTTTACTAGTAATAGTACTTAGAAGTATATTACGTTTATACACAGAAAAATGAAAATAACTACGTTTGGTAAAGCAAAAAATACTTACTAAAAACAAGAAATTAAAAGCGAACAACAAAAATTTTATCACCGCCATGCCACCAGATGCCATTTTCTAACTACTAAATATATTGCTTTACTCCTACTTTAACAGGCAACACAACAATCAAACATACGTTGCAACTTAACAATCACTTTTAAATTATTTTTATCCCACGCAAAGCTATTACGAAACATATACGCAATGCCTGTTGCAACATCACCGTTACACATGCGCAGTACTTTTATTGTTACTCTAGATTGTTTTTTGTTTTTTTACGAAAACCTTATGCTTTATTTAATTTTCAGTGTGTTAACTTTTTTAGTTTACATAATCTACATTTATTTTTAATGTATGTAGTTGTATAAAACACTAGAGCATTTACAATTTTAGCCAACGTTTTTAAACTTAAGCTATCTTGACACTTGAGTCCCCGCCCACATGACAATGAGTCAATAATGTACAGGCACAAATCGAGTAGTGACATGGATTGGTTTGAATGAAAATTATATTTGTAACATAAGTTGTACAATAAAACTATCAGAGGTTCTTAGTTAATGAGTAGAATGTTATTTGTTTAAGATATTTGCGCAAAGCTTGACATGAGCTATTAGCACTAGCTGACAGTTGTACCTATATTTGAACTGATATATTAAATTTATAGGGAAAGAAGTTAGTCGCAGTAAATCTTAGGCTACGCTTAACTTCACGTGATGAGCGAGCGGGTTACTTAAGGGTACGACATGAATCATTATATGAAAGTCTAGTCTAGGACTGGTTTGTCACAAATTTCGCGCAAAGCTATCTGCGCTAGCCGTCCCTAATTTAGCAGTGTAAGACTAGAGGGAAGGCAGCTAGTCATCACCACCCACCGCCAACTCTTGGGCTACTCTTTTACCAACGAATAGTGGGATTGACCATCACATTATAA